GAAAAATTGATCGTGAGTGCGACTTGAGCGTAGAAGGCAGGGAGGGGAGAGAGAGAGAGAGAGAAAGAGAGAGAGACAGAGACAGAGACACCCTTTACGTAGTGTTCTGATGGTGGAAATGAAATTTTCAAGAGAGCGAGCGAGTGAGTTGGCTGGCTGATGATTTAATCATAAGGTCGATGAATCATTACCCCCTCTCTTCAACTGGTGAAGAAAAACGCGGTCTCCACGCGGAGTGCGCCTCTGTGGGGGAGAGAAAAAAAAGAAGAACGCGCGAGCGAGCGTTTCTTAGGAATTAAGCTTATTTATTTCTGGCTGTGGCACGGCTCATCGCTCGTGGGTGTATATGTACGGGAGCGCGCGCGGGAAAACAGCTCGCGATGTTTCCGGCGACGGACAATGCGAGCGGAATTCTTGAGACGTTCAACAAATGCGGGGAGGGCCGCGTCGTATTATTCAAAATCATTGTGAGCACCGGTGCTGTTGATAAAATATACGCGGCGCGGCTCGTGGAAACAGGCCGCGATAAGGATAACTAAGGAAACGAATGGAGGCTCGCGCGGCGGCCGATAAGAACCAACCGCGATTTAATCCGGAACGAGTTTACCGTTCGTGAAATGGAGCGAAATAAAAAAAAAGAAAGGTAGAAAAGAAGGAGTGACGGAAGGATCGACGGAGAGGGAGAGAGAGAAATAGATATAAATGGGAAAGGAAAAGACAAGAAACGTGGCGGCACGTAAATGAATTGCAAATGGCAGCGAATTCTCGTTTGTACCGCCGTTGTAATAATTTGCATCGACGGTGTCTCGTGTTTACGTCGAGCTGCGAATTTCGGAAGTGCCCGGACTCGTCGCGGTCGTTGTCGTCGTCGTGCTGCTGCGTGCGTGTCGCCGAAGGAACTTCCGGCTTTGAGGGAATAATTAAGGGGTCGAGAGAGCGAAAGGGACGTGTACGCGCGCGCGCGCGCTTCCCCGCGCGGAAAAATCGATTATGAACTTGTCAAAGAATCATCGTCGTGAAATTAAAAACGGCAGTGCCGCAGCGCTGCGCGAGCCTCGGGATGGTTGCGACTCGACCCGACGAAATCAAGCCCGACTTCTTCCGCAAGTACGGAAGTAAAAAAACCTCAGGGAGAACGGGGCAAGCCGTTGAAATTTCTCCCGCGGGGGCGCGCCGCGCGCACACGCGGTAGTTTACATCGTCATTATTCGCCGCTAATTGTATTTTCCGGATAATCCGGATTTACACTGATTGACGTTAAAGTAGGTGGAGTATAAATTTACCGAAAAAGCCAGGGAATATCGCATCGCGCCGGACTCGCGTAACTCTCTCGCGCGAACATTTTGACACGCTCGCCCCGTGTACACCGGACGGACGGACAGACGGACGGGCAGACGGACGCCCGGTTTTGCCCCGTGGTATCGTTGCCGAAAACGTCGCGCCCTGGGCGCCGGATTCGTTGTTGACGAAGGGGGCACCCGGGCGAAATCCGGAACGATTCCGAAAAGCGGGACAGGAGTGAGAGAGCGCGCGTAGGTCCCGATAAATCGCCCTCCTCGTTCTAGGGGGGCTGCGTAGGGGTGAGAAAGAGAAAGAGATAGACAGAAAGAGAGACAGGGAGAGAGTCAGGGGTACGAGGTAGAAGGGAAGGACGCAGAGGGGGGCGCCGGCGGATATCGCCATAAAGGCCAGCTCAAAAGTCAATCAAGCGGGCCGAATTACGTCGAAAAGCGCGGCGGGGTGCGAGCGCGAGTGCGCTCGCGAGCACCGATATACAACAAAATGAAAGCTATCAGAGGTGACAATCCGCGGACGACAAATCAGCGTGTATATTTAATGCCCGTGGTGCTACCCCCGCCCCCGGAAAAGCCCCCGATGCCCGACGTGGAACAGTTTTCCCTCTCTTTCCCTCTCACCCTCCGTTCTCTCTTTCTCCCTCGCTTTCCATCCGTCTCTCTTTCTCTGTCCACCTATCTATTTATCTTCCTCTTGGTTCCTCTTGGCATACTCTTTCTCTCTCTCTCTCTCTCTCTCTCTCTCTCTCTCTCTCTCTCGCTCACTCGCTCGCTTACTCTCACCCTCTCTTTCATTCTCTCTGTTCATCATGCGACTCGTCCCTCTCGCCGCCGACCCTTCACCCCCTGCTGGCACACCTCGCTCTCGCTCCCGCGTCATCACGTTGTTGCTCTCGGATATGTCACTATGCTACCGACATAACCAACCCGCTCTCCTCTCTTCGTTCCTCTTCGCGTCCTCTCTCGCGCGTCGCATCACCCCACCTCTTCCTCCACCTCGCCGCGTTCCATCCCCGCGTGTTATTTGCAACGTGTCGTACGCTCGCGCACCCCCGCGATCTAGCGCAATCAGTGCTATTATATTAATATTTATGCCGACCCCCCTCTCCCTCTTTCCTGTCGCTTCGTCGTCGCGCTACCCTGTCTCTCGTTCCCGCTCTCTTCCGCCGAGCGCGTTTTCTCTCGCTCGGCTCGTCAGTGATACCTCGCGCGGAAAAGCCAATCGAAAACGAATCCACCCATCGCGTCCTAGATTGCTCAACACTTTCGCTCGTTGATCCTCATCGATCGAGAGAGGTGTATCTATAGATCGGCGGAATAGATCGATGACAATAACGGCGCTTTTTGTTTTATATATACCACGCAGTAGGTCGCGATTTGTTGTAACAGATCAGAGAAAGCTAAGAGAGAGAGAGAGAGAGAGAGAGAGAGAGAGAGAGAGAGAGAGAGAGTTGAAGGATAAACGAAAGAGATATATCGTTCGTGACTTCAAGAACGGTAAAGGCGATGATTCTTTCTCGCTGTTTAAATATGTTACGGGATATTTATAAATTCAGTTCTCTTATAAAAATCCAAGCCTTTCATAAAAGATTGCCTTTTACGCCGGAAGCGTTCCATGAAGAGATTAGGCTTTTTGTAAAATGAACTTACAAAGATTTTGCGACGTATACACACGCAAAAGGGCTTTACGTTCTCGTTGAGAAGGATATAAAGCGATTTAAAAATGCGATATATATATTTATACATATGAACCTTTATATATATACATATACATATGTTTCTAAATATCTCAGTCCACTAAAGTAATATTTTCGAATATAAAATATACGAGCGAAAGGAATGAGAACGAGTGTGACGTTACACGCTGCTAATCACGAGCAGATATTAAAGCAATTACAATGTTGCAATAGCAACATAATATTACGATATGAATGTGTACGTCACGACATAAGAACTCTTATAATAATAGCTCTTATAATAATAGCGCGGCTACGACAATTATCCAGATATGCTAATTAAAATTATTAAAATTTATTGAGATTGCTACATGCACACGTGCATGCATACACACACACTCATATAAGAGTGCATATGTATGTTGGCGCGCTGGACGACGTAAGAAACGTTCGCGCGGCACAAAACACTCGTATTAGCTTGCGACATTACTCAAAATTACCAGGTTGCGCTCCTGATAGATTGCGGCAATTATACGGAGTGTCCCGGGTCCGCCGTCTGCCCCTTTAATAATAGATTCGTCGAACTCGTTGTCAAGTTTTTCCTGCAACCAATTTGAAATTTAAGAAGACAATAAATTACACGCTGATGCAATTCATATTAATAATTCAAGTTGCGGAGGACCGTATGAGTCAAATGGCGAATGCTATGTAGATAGATAAGTAGGAAATGCTGTTTTAGCAATTACAATTACATTAAGCAAAGACGCGAGACAAACGATTGGTGAATTCGTACTTCCGTGCGATTCGCATTGAAAGAAATTGACTTCGAGGTATAAAGAAACGAAACGCATCATGTCCAAAAACGATGCGGGACGTTGAAAACGAAGCGGAATAGCTCGTCGACAATTTCCGACCGTGACGTTTCGCGGCCGAGCATCCCAGGTCGAAATTTTGATTTTATTTTTGATCAATTTGATTGATTTCAATTTTGATTAATCCGAATTCCACCGAATTTGAACGACCAGTTATATTATATTATTATCTCGAGAATCTCGAGATATATAACATTATGCAAGCTATTGTCCTTTGACACCCATAGTTACTGTTGTTGAGGTTTAGGAAAGGATCTGCTAAAAGAATGGCTTCAAGTCCTGGGCTACAAGTATTCTTGGGAAATGGATGTTTGGAATTATTTAAAATTCGTTTATCTCAAATTGTGTGTATTCTATCTTCATTTCTTTATTTCTGTGTGCAATAAACAATTTATTAGTTAAATAACTTATTTAAGTGCACATAGAATGTATACAGTAAGCATTAAGTAATTAATTTGGGTAAGTAACGAGATTAATAGACAGATAAAACAACCAAACATTTCTTCGTTCATAATCTCTTATATTTTATTTACGTTAGAAATTTAGATAGCAAAGATAGCAATTGTGCGTTCAATAATACTGCAAATGTGGAAATTCATATTTGAATTCGGTACAATAATTAGGTTAATTAGGTTACACGTTAATTAGCTGACATTTTCTTCACATGTATTATTTATGAGACGCTGATAAGACGCAAATCGCCTTTTAGGGTGGCATTCATAGTTAAATCTTCTGTTTAAGATCGTTTTAAGTAAATCTTCAGATGCTCCATAACCAATAAAATAATGCATACAGTATCTAAAGATAAACTTAAGAATATCTTGAATATAAGATCACAAATTATATATGAATACTGCCCTTAGATCCATGGTATGTCTCATCATTGATAGGTCGATAGTTACTAAACATTTCCAATCAGTCATATTCGTTTCTGGTTATGCGTTTCTCATGTTGGTTGGTTCAGAAAGCGAGGATATGTTTTCTGGATTAATCGACAGTGACGAGAAACGCGTGTGTGTTTAGTAACTATCGAAGTCGCGGAATTAGGCGCATAGACGTCGCATCGCTGCAAGCGCGCCAAAACAGCGTCAATTGTACGGCCATCTTGGATTTCGATCCTTTTGCGTCGAGCGGCGGCCGTTAACGCATCGATCGACATCGCTTCTCGTTTTACGCGTCTTCTGTCTGTCGAAAGTGAGTCCCGTGTGGAAATAAGTGTCGGGAATGTCGAAAATAGCGACGTGCGACCGTCGGGACGTATCGTGAGTACATTATTAGTGAGTAGTCTCCTCATTACATACGTATACCGGTGCTTGTCGCGATGTGTCGAGTCGATGTTTCTCTCACACTTCTTATCATTATCGACTCACTCAAGTAGTAATAGAATCGGACGACTATCGGATTTATTAGCCGGGAATTAGAAATTCGGTGATAATTAGATGGAACGAGAAAGATATTGTGACGTGAGAGATATACGCGAGGCCGAATCTCGGGAGGTAACGGTTAGTCAGTTAGTAAGAAAGAGAGAGAGAGAAAGAGAGGAAGAAAGTCGTACACAGAGCGCGTCATTGCGAAAGCGCGACAATGTTTACATCATGGCGCGTTGATGTTGGTAAGGTGTGACGTTGCTATTTTCAAAGGAGCTGCTTTTTGTTTTTGTTTTGGAAGTCGCATATTTCGCTACAGCAGAACGTAACAGTAAGTCCCGGACCGGCGAGAGCGACATACACGCCGCGGAACGCGTGCACCGGTGAATTAGATATTGAACATTATTTTCGTTGAAATATTTAATCGAGCTCTCGCCGGTATCGCGTTCATTAGTACGTATGTCTCCGACCGAGCCGTATCACGCGAGTGTCAGTGTGAGTGCCAAGTATCCAAAGCAGCTAAGATGCTGGGTTTGAAAGTAAGGACGAAGGACGTAGACGCCAACAGAGGGTCAACGCTACGTCATATATTTCTAGGTGTGTCTAATTATTATCATAGAGAATGCGTTCGATTACGGACATTTGACAAGTTTACCGAATATAGAGATATTCCGAGTCGAATATCTATCGTAATAGGAATTTAGACCGATATTCGTAAGGCATCATTATTTAAAAAATAAATATATATTTATATAGTTTAGCTACGTGTGAATTAATTTATAATTATTATTCGACGTATTTATTTCTTGTATGAAATATTGATTCATACAGCCGAATAAAGATCTGTGAATATAAATAATTATGCTTTCGTTCAAAGATGATAAACTATTTATGACTATGAATATCGGCCTCAGAATCCAGTAAATATCGCAAGTGTTGATTTTTATATTTAATAATGTTCCTAAAGTCGCGAGTTCCATTTTAAATCAGTATTAAATAAAGCTGATTTCTATAAAATAAAACTGATTTCTGTGAAACAAATCTGATTTTTTTAAACAAAGTTTATTTCTGTGAAATGAACTTATATCCTACAAATATAAATCTTCAAATTTTTTTTTCAGTGCACAAAAATACTTTTGTGTTTGCCAGGCTCGCAGAAAGTCTAGTTTATGAATTACATTTACATTTTTTTTCGATTTATATTCAACTCTGCTATTATGCGAAGTCCACATTTGGAAAACAGCATTATTGAACACTTAATATCACTTGTTATCTTTGATTTTATAGCTTTCCCTTCATCAGCTCTTTTAAAATCTTATAGAGATTTTCGACGTCAGAAGAAATCAAAAAGAGATTATGAAAACCAAAAAAAATTTCTACTTTCATCCATTTATCCTCTATTAATCTTTATTATTATTCTATATTATTAAATTATCTAATATTGCTTATTACACACGTACTCTATCTGTAGTTGAGTAAGCTGCATGATTATTACATTGTACATATGCACATTACTACATGATACATGTAAATGTTATGTTACACTATTATATTATGTTATAATGTATGTTACATTATTACGTATACCACATAATGCATTGTTGCTTAAAATTAAGAATGAAGATTAGAGGCAGATGGAACATTGAAATAATCGAATATTAAGTAATTCATAAACTTCGCTTTCTGCGAGCCTGGCAAACACGAAAATATTTTTTGTACACTGAAAAAAATTTGAATATTTATATTTGTGGGATATAAGTTTATTTCACAGAAATAAACTTTGTTTTTCACAAAAATCAGATTTGTTTCACAGAAATCAGTTTTGTTTTACAGAAATAGAAGCTTTATTTCCTAGAAATAGGTTTTATATCCTACAAATAAATTTTCTAGCATTTTTTCTCAGTGTAGCATCACGGTAAGACAACAGTAGTGTTTATTTCGAGAATAATAGTGTAAATTTCGAGAAACTTGCAGGATTAACGTAGAACCAAATTTTGATTCGGAATAATCTCTCACGAAGATTAACGACGATCCGTTAGGAAGATTCAACGGGTTGTCTCTGAGAAGGAGAAAAGGACGCGACTTAATTGACTCGAGCCGCGTGAAAGCTCGAGAGAGCGACAACTGTGTGGAAAGTGTTTTTAATTAACAATATTTTATATAACATATTCATTAGCATCTCGGACGCGTATGTATGTGCGTGCTTTATCACTCTCTCGGAGACGACCCACTTATTACGCAGTATGTAAATGTATGCGCGATAGATTCGATTGTATGTAAATAGTAATAGGAACTCTAGTCCTTTGCATAACACTGGGCGTTAGCACACTTCTAGCTTTCCATGCGCGAAGACGATTATTATTTGATTTACATAAAAAGTGAGGACGCGTTTTTCATTGGCGTAGTGAGAGGAGAAGCGAGGCGCCTCTCAGACGCTGCATTGCCGTAACGGTATAACTGACAGACAGCTATTATGTAATACTTAGTATTTTCCGATTATTAAACGTAACGTTAAACCGAAACGATTCCAATAGTCGCAATTTGTCGTTTACGAGAATATCTCTTGAATGACTGAGTTGAAGGGAGGAGGGGAAAATTGAGAAATTTAATTCTCGTCGAAGCAGAAACTCATAAAAAGCTAAAATGCTCAAAAGTTCTTCCGTTGTCGTGATTTGAGGCGACTTCGTAATTGGAGTTTCAATCTTTCTACGTCATTCTTTTCGCTACGTGAGACATGCTCGATTTCAAATTTGCCAAAACATATCCGTTCCAACTTTGAGGGTCAACACGATCCTCGGGGAGTGAAGCAAAGAATTTGCTTCCGAGAGGAAAACGAGGAATTGATTATGGATAAGCGTGAGAATAGCGCGTAGTCCCTTCGGTCATGACGCGTATCATGGTGTGCCGCCTTATCGGAAACTGCGCGAGCGCGATGTACTCGAAACAAAAGAGCCCTCGGATTATTAGAACGACATCGTATCCGATCCTCACGGCTCGATTGGCCCGTGGAGAAGGTTCACGACGTCGGTTTACGAGCGATTACGTGCCTCTCGAGCTCTCTCGTCTCGAGCTTGGCCGAGCAGCCGACCAGCCGCGAAACCGCGACAACTTTCTCACCGCGAATCGAATTTATCAGAGATATCCGGCGATGTATGAATGAACATCTTTCCGTGCGCCGTTAATATCTTAATGAAAAAAGCATCCAGACTCGCTCCCCGAAACCCGTCACCCCTTCGCGGATAGAAAGCTCACGATTTATTCGACAGATGCGCCACTCGAGCGCCCCGCGGGCAGGTTTCTCTAAATTTCCTATTGGTCAACTAGATCGGGGATAGATATTGTAATCGCTCTCTTAACCGAGTAATCACCCTCTGCATGTTCGCCTGGGGCCGCGAACACCCCCCAGTGTCACCCCCCGTCGAGCCTCACCCTCGATGTTAGTGGAAGCGGACGCCGTGCCGCGCCGCGCCGTTCGACGTGAGCCAGAAACGCCCTTCGGCACTTTGTCGACTAATATTTATTACCGTGCCACGGATACGGTTTGTTTTCGAGATTGCAGATTCACGCTATCGGCAAGGCAGCCGCCTTTGTTCCGTTACGTCGTTCTTCTTCCATTGCAAAATTTGTCACGTCCTAATCGATATTGATATATATATAAAAAAGATTTGTTTAACCCTCCGCGCCTTTAAGTGCGTTGTGCTGGCACTAAACAAAATATTTTATAAATTTCGGAAACTGCGACGACGCGCCTTTTGACCTTTTTAAATGTAAATACAAAGTAGCAGGCGTTAGTCCTAAAAATGATTCAAAAACCGAAAGGCGACGTCACGGCGTTTCCGAGTTTTACTTTTGGATGGCGTCGCATTCTCGAGAGTTAATTTTAATGTTAGTCTTGAAATCAGCAATAACGCGATCAACATTTTTACGATATCGTCATCAAAGTTTGTTGATGACGCTTGATATTATCTCAGTATTGCACATTGCAATAATGCTTTTAGCTTGAAGTAATCTCGATTCGCAATTTGCACATGGGATAAGTTAATTTCCGAAGGATAATTTTCGTCACACTTGCTCGGAGCATGTCCGGGGCTCGTTGACATTTTGAATGCCGCTCTTCTGAGCGGCGACCCCCGGCTGGGCAAAAATCAGTGCCTACTGCGAATTGCAGGTTAGATTACTGCGGGCGGCGACGAGGCGCAGCCGAGTCGATCGAAATCGCATTTCCGGAGGTACGAATTGGCCGCCCGGGGTGCCCGCTTCACGTTCTCGGACCTGCCGAAATTCGATTGGGCGCGTTGTTAGAAGGATAACCGTGAATTTCGCGGCACGCGCGACATACGTGCTGAACAACTCCCGCGGGATTCAGTCTAATAGAATCTACGGCTACGGTAGAGAGAGAGAGAGAGAGAGAGAGAGAGAGAGAGAGAGGGGGTGTGAGAGCGAGAGGCGCTTCCTGGGATTACTCGAATTTTCCCCCAGAATTTTCGCCGGAGTAATTATTTTATAAGTGCGAGAATTACGTGAATTATACGAGACCGGTGCACGGTTCACCACCGATGCGATATATTTTTTTCCTTTTCTTCGTTTTTTTTTTTTTAGTAAATCTAATAAGTCGAGAGAGAAAATATTTGTACGCTCGTTTCGCAACAGCACCGCAGCTGTGCCATAAGGCGCGTCGTTCCTACATCTCGAATGTAGAGAGAAAGCGTGAGGGCTTTTCTCGCGTAATTATCCGAAAGCACCTTTGCATAGAAAAAGAGAGAGAGAGAGAGAGAGAGAGAGAGAGAGAGAGAGAGAGAGAGGGAGGGACAAAGAGAAACACGTCACTCGAGCCTAACCGCTAAGCCCAGCTCTGAGGAAAAGAAAAAGTAAAGCGGAAAAGAGAAAGAGAATAAAAGTTGCCGGAGGGGGCGGGAGCGTGACACGAGGGAGATGGGGTCGTGCAAAACGCAAGTCGGCGGCTTGCGATCGTGGTGGCCGGGACTTTTCTCTCGCGGTTACGCTCTCGCGAACGCGATCTCTCTCACGATTTTCCCCCCTCGCGGAGGTGGATCGCGCGCGCAAGCAGATATCGGTAATTCGTACGTGGCCGAGCAGATAAATACGCGAGAGAGGAGGCAGAGCTGTACGCCGCCATCTCTTCTCTCTACTAGGTGCTCTCACGAAGAAGACAGTCGTATCCCGTGGTCTCCCCGTCGCCCGGCTCCCTCCCCCTCTCTCCCCCGTTGCCCCTCACCAGCCAGAATCGCGCGAATCACCGGCATCATCGTCGACGATCTGCAACCGATAGCGATGCAACGGCGTCGAGGCGCAGACCGCGGGCCATAGAATTATGCATTATGCCGAATGCACTCGCTAAGCAGTATGATCGGCTCGAATGGCGCGGCGGCGAGCAGGGGGAGGGGGTGGAGGTGCAGGAGGACGGCACGGCCAGGAGGGAGTAAAGGGAAGTCAGGCAACGGGAGGGAACGATAGGCGGAGGCTCTCTCCGGTGGTAGATGATTCTCGTGATTTCATGATCCGCGATATATCGAGGGAGGATCGAGAAGGGGATCGGTAACGAGCCGATCGTGACTCGCCGCTTTCGTACGGTAGCT